AGAATGTTAGAAGAGGTCGTAGTGCTCGCGGACTGGAGAAGGTTGTCCGTCGGGATCTCCCACGTCAGTCGACGCCGAAGTGAAGGAAGAGTTCCATGACGGTTTTGCGGAACCAGGGCGAAGCGACGATGCGGGAACGTCAGCGCAATCGCAGGAATGGAGAAGAGAGCAAGGAAGAACGGAGAAGGAGCTGCGGCGAAATCATCGCGCAACAGCTGCAAAGAATTTCTAACCCGCTCAATTTGAGCGGGTTTCAAAGTCGCGCGAATTGCCTCCACTGATACCCCACTAATACTCGCTATTGCTTCGGAGGTATTTCATTCCTTCCCTTCAAAATTAATCAAACAATCAAATTTAACAAATACATGTAATTCTTTTACTTTACCCTCCTAATTCAGGCAACCAAACAGCCCCTAAGATATATTTGTGTAGCGGATAAAGGTACTATCAAATTCATGAAGTAGGGAGATAAATAGAAGGAGACATTCAAAATAAGGGATGGATTATGTGAATGGATGGTGATGACATTCAGCCTCTCCGATGCATTGAACACCTTTTACATGACTTGCGATGCAAGGATATTTACCGTTCCATAAAAAGTTCAAGATGGTTTACATTGATGGCATCTTCGTGCATAGTTGTCCTAAGAGAGATCGGTTGCAGCATCTACAATGGATATCTAAAACATTAACACAAAAAAAGTTGTATGCTAACCTAAAAAAATATCATTTATCAGCAAATAAGAATCACTTTCAAAGGTGTACTATTTGTTGTGCATAAATCAAGATGAATAGAGAAAAGAAACAACTATTTTGGAGTTGTGGCCTACTCGATCCTTTTCGAATGTGAGGAGTTTTCAAGATCTTGTGTTAATTTACGAGCACTTAATCAAATCTTTTAGTTCTATGATTGCTCCTTTGAGAAAATTACTCAAAAGGGACAAATTCATTAAGACGCCAGAGGCATAAGTTATCTTCAATGCCTTTGGAATAAAAATCATTTAGGCCCCATTTTAGCTCTTTCAAATCTCAACAATGTGTTCCAGGTAGATTGTAATGCCTCCAATGTGAGGTTTAGGGCCACTCTAAGTCAAGGAAATCATTTAGTCAATTTCTTCAACAAACAACTCAATGAGGTTAGAATTATATGACCTATTTCGAGCCTTGGAACATTGGAATCACAACCTTCTTGCTAGCAAGCTTATATTATTTTATGAACATGTGACTCTCAATTACCTGCATAACCAAAGTAAGATTAAGGATCGACATGACAAGTGGAATAAATATCTTTTCTTAATTTACCATATCTTAAAGTATAAATTGGGTGTCCAAAATCAAGTTGTTGATGCCATTAACTACCAACATGTTCATTTAGGTATGCTAAAGTGGTTAGTCTATGAGATGATACAAAACTTCATTTTAAAGATGAAGATTTTGACAAGGAATTAAAGCGATATCAGGTCTATACCATCTAGTATTTTCATTTTTAAGATCGATATTTGTTTTTATTTTAAACATATTGTGAATTTCTTGATGTTTGGTTTGAAAATTATCCTACTTGAGTTCCAAGTTGGAGGCCTTATAGCCCCATTTTGGGCAAGACAAGGCAAGATCCCTAATATAAGAAAATTTTATAGGCCCTCTTTACAAAAAGAAGTTAACGAACTAATCAAAGAATGTTTGATTTTTCATATTGCAAAACAAGAAGCTAGCAAACAAGGTTATATGCTCCCCTTTCAATCCCTGAGTCACCATGGATGGATGCAAACTTGAATTTTGATGTAGGTCTTCCAAACATAAAGTAGCTTAAAAATCAAGTATGATAGTGGTGAATCAGTTCACCAAATTGACGTACTTTGTTCCATGTCAAAAGACACATGATGCTTTGCAAATTACCAATTTTTACTTCTGGGAGATTGTGTGCTTGCTTAGTATTTCCAAATCTATTACTATGATGGTGATGTTCAATTTATTAGTCATTTTTGGCGAACGTTGTGGTAGAATATGAAACCAAACTTCAATATAGCTAGATGACACATTCATAAATAAATGAACATACAAAGACTATGAATCACCGCCTTAGAAACTTGTTGCATTGCTTTGTTTGCAATGATATCAAGCAATGGGATCTTACTCAAGGCCAAGCTAAATTTTATTACAACTAGTCCACTAGACAAATGGCGGGTTGAAGTCCTTTTGAAGCAGTGTATATATGGGGAAAATCCCATTACCCTATTAGAGCTTATATCGACGACCAATACAACATAATTTATTATAAAGGTGGCAAGATGAGCTGACAAGATCAAGAAGGTCTATCAACAAGTACAATATATGATTATGAAGCAATATATGAAGTACCAAAAAGAAACAAACAAAACTTGTACCTCAGCTTCAGTTTATTAGAGTATTAGAAATATTTTGCTATCATATTAATATTTTTATATATGCTTAATATTTATTAAGAATTTATAAATTTACTATTATAATAAATCCTCATTATAGAGGATATTCTCATTTATTGTACTTTCCTTATGCACTATTATCTTGCCTTTATATAGGCATATTTCTACTAGCATTAGGATTATTTAAATAAAGATACAACTTTTTTATGATTTCTATCATGGCATCAGAGCCACCTTTCTAAGCCTTGAATATCTCGTGAGAATTCCACAAAAGATCTCACATGGATATAATAGCATGCAATTTACCCATCTAGGAGTCACCACTTTGCGATTCACCCACTTGGTCTTCTCATGCTAGAGCGGATATTTTCGCTCGCCCACACTTCGATGCTATTCGCTCAGTCTCTACACTTTTCCTTCTCACATGAGCCGCTTCACCTACTCCCACCTCATTATGATTCATTCCCTCATTACACTTGCTTGAGATCCCACTAGTAGCCATTAGCAATCTATCCACCCGTACCTTGTCAGCCTACTGTAATTCATCTTGTTGAACCATATGCATGCTACTACTCTCGCAAACTTGGATGTTTTCCACTTTTCTATCTTTTGTGTCTTCAGCTCCTATCTCGAAGAACCCACAAGGATCTCATAAAGATCCTATAAGAATCCCATGAAAATCCCTTAAGGAACCTATGAAGATCTCGTGATGATTTTGTCACTTATGGTTATGGCAAATGTTTGACCCTATGCCAATCTCTCAATTGTTCTCTATATTTTGAAGAAAAATTTCATTCTAATGTCAATGGACTCATACCTACAATTTTGAAAAAGATGTTAAATAGCCCTTGGCTTGGATCTTTTAGTCCTCTTTACACCATACAAACTCTACATGCTTCTTATTGTAACATCATGAGTTTGTAGAAGGGTGTTAGAATTATTCAATTATTTTATTACTATATTATTATTATCATATATGCTTAATATTTATTAGGAATTTATAAGATTGATTCTTGTAATATATCCTCATTATCGATAACATTCTCCTTTATTGTACTTACATTGTTGCTTTATTCTCTGACTTTATATAAGTATGTTTGTACTGCATTAGAACTATTAAAATAATGATGTAACTTAAGACTCTGAGAGCAAGTCTTCTCTTACTTAGGGAGCATAAAAAGTTATGAGTGTGGGAGTTGTATTTCAAAATTTTCTTTTGTTATGGAGACCGGCAGTTTCATCAGATGACGTGGTTAACTTACAATTTTTGTTTTATTAGCCTTTGAACTATTCCCCCTACCCCTTAAAGTTACTCATTCAATGGACAAGAATTCAAAAGTTCCAGTTTTTATTGGCAAAATTCCAGCGCAAGAAAACAATCGGCTTACTGGATTTCAGGTTTAGATTAGTTTTCCAGCCAGCAACAGGACTCAAAATGCGATATTCAGGCTGTCCTATTGCCGTGCAATTATAGCTTCTTGATGTTCTTTCAGTGCTCTTTCAAAATTTTCCGTTCTCCTCTCGATTTTCTCTTGGCTTCACATATATAAGCCAGCAACTTCAGTTTGAAATGGCACTTCGGTTATTTCTTTTTCCGCCCAAACTAAATACATATTAACGTTTTAGTAGGTATTCTAAATTATATGTATGAGATCTAGCTTGTCTTGTTTCACAAATAAGACAATGAGAAAGCTCAGAAAATACTTAATAGATTTGTGACAATCAAGCTATGATAGCCAAGTTTGTTGACAAAAGTTAAATTTTTGCAAAGTGAACTGCTTTCATAAGATTTTTGGAGTTTCTACCGTAACATAATAACAGAAAATCAAACTAATAGCAAATTCAACTTACCACAACTTGAAGCAGGTATAACAATACTGCCGGGTTTTGCAATTACAGGATCTGACACTGGTGGCAGATCAAGCTCTTCCTCTTCTTTTCATTTGTGATTCCACCCTAGTAGTAAACAAGAAATAAATGAATGAGTAAAAACTACCAATTAGAATGATTACAGTTCTAACTAACAAATCTTAATTGTCAAAAATAAATCAAACTTCACTCAGACCTACAAAGCAGATTGATGTAACAGTATCGCTGCATGAAAAGTAATATCCAAAAACAATATTCTAATTCTCTAAAATCTAACAAAAGCAAACCAATAGATAAAAATCGAAGTCAAATTTACCGTTTGCATCATATTTCTTCTTCTATACATGAACTCCATTTAGCATTTCAACAAACCCCACCGGCCAAAGAACTAAAATACAGAATCAAGGAGTATTAGTGCTCTTACGGCCGGATGCCAATCTAGAATTCTCAATTTCACACCCTAGTTTCAGAAGAGGACAAAATGATCCAGTATCATGAAAAAAAAAATCACAAAACTAAAAAATGAATCGTTCAAGAAAATGTATAGAAAGAGAACACACCATGAATTGCTTCATCAGCAGCTCAAGAACATCTACTAGCTGTTTGATTCATACCCTGTTGATTCGAAGATGCTTACCTCTGGAACCGTGGCCGCTAGAACTCTCCCGTACGAGCAAACGAAGTACCGACCCATCCGGAGGCCTCCGAATCCATTAAAAAAAAAAATCTGTTTACTGTGCTAATCTCGGCCTAAATTTAAGATTATATATATATTCAGACAATAAATAGCTTTTATTTTATTTTAATTTTATTTGCTTTTTTTAATTTGATTTGACTTTTTACTAAGGTCAACCAGATATTTTTGTTTGTATTATCATTTTAATTCTTAGTATAGAAAGTGTGAGATAATTTTTTTTTGAATGTTAAAGAAGATGAAGCAAAAATTATATTATGCATATTTATTGAGGACTAAAAGGAAAAAATTACAGGCTTTCCATGGCAAGTGTTTAAAGAAATAAATAATAAAGTTTACTCTAAAGGCAATGTATGCATTCAATTAAATGATGATGTAATGATAGAATTCATGATGATTTATTATCTTGAATTTTATTTTGCATTAAATAAAATAAATGTGATGTAAAGCCTAACAATGGTGATAGTTGGTGGCAAGTGGATGACGGCTGGTTAGAGATTCTGGGGAGGCTAATATGAATGCTTATTTTTGGTTCCCATGATGATTATGATATGAATGTGGTGCAAGTTGACAATAATGATTTTGTAAAAGTTGCGAAAAAAAAAAAGAAAAAAGAAAAATAAAATGTGGCGCAAGACTTTATGGTTTTTGAAGGAAAGCCTAAAATATTTAAAACTCATTCGAAATTCTACTGATAATGGTGATTTGTCTTATGTGATTGCTTTTATGTGTTTACTTTGATCTAGTGGGATATTGATTGTGGTTATAGTGGGTTGCTCCTGGTTGTTTCTATGGTTATCTGTTTGTACCCTTTCTTCTACCTTTATCTAGATGATTTGGTCTGTTATGGTTGGAGGTTGTTGTCATGGATTCCTTGCATTTGTCCCTAATGTTGTTTTCATGATTCTATTGCATTTCTATGTTTATAGCTGTTTGTCGGGAGTTTGCTATTGGTGGCTTTTCTTCTGGCCATGGGCTTTTGTTTAGTTGCTCGTGTAGATTTTACTGTCTCTCTAGCTGTGCTGCTGTTCTTCCTTTGGGAGTCTCTGGTTATCTTTTCTCTCCTAAGTTGTGCTGCTTTTGGCTACTACGTGTGCTTTCTAGCATTTCATTTTGTTTTTCGTTTTGTTGTAGTAGCTGGATCATAGGCTTATTAGGTTTTGTTTCAAATAATATATTTTTAGAGAGCTTTTGATCCCTTAAGAACTTGTAATCATTTTATTTTCATTAATGTGTAGGCTCCTCCGTGGGTTTTAACCAAAAATAAAAAAATGTATGACAACTAGTTATGACAGTGATAGTATATGGCGGTTGGTAAACACAACAAAGGTGACGGCTGTCAGTATTAGATGATGAGAGGCGGGTGATGAGAGCTTCATCCATGTAGTTGTAAGTGATTCCTCCATTAAGAAGGGTGGTTTCCTTCTTGCTAGCTAGTTGGCCCTAGGCTTAGTATATAGAGATGGGATGTTTCCCATAATGGTTTTGAATAAAAACTTTGGCAAGTGCTTTGATTTATCTGATTATTTGTTTAATTTTTATTGTTATTAAAGATTAATTAAAAAAAAATTAACATATCAATCTAATATTTTTAAATCTGTATTTATATCAATGATTTATTTTCTAAAAACCACTCCCAATATTAGGGCTTGTTTTTCAGATTTCCTCTAGCATAAAAATAAAATCAGAAAATTAAAAAAAAATCTAATTTTTAACCTCAAATTGAGCTCAATTTATTAAATTAAATAAAAAAAAAATTACATGCATATCACACAATTGTTAGATATTTCATATTTATAAATCTAATGTTTAAGATTTAATATTTTTTTCAGCCGAATTATATTTAATTAAATATTTATTAAAATGTTAAATTTTAGATGTGAAACAGATGAACTCGAAAAGGACAAAAGTGACAGGGCCAATAAGTCATTAGGAGAAGTAATCAATGAGGTTTAACCGTCCAGATGAAGTCTTTTGGTAAAAAATTTTGAATATCAATTAAGAGATCTTAAATTTAAATTTTACGTATGTAATATATGTGAATTTATCTTAGTTAACCTAAATATTCTCCAAAAAATCTAGAAAGAGGAAAATTCCAAGCATTCATCATTAATTCTTCAACAACTTAAAAAAATAAAAGTAAAAAATGAAAAAAAAAAAAAACTGCATTTTAAAAAATATATATGTGAGCAAATTTTGCCACTCATGAATGGTAACAATTACTTCCATTAAAGCTTCTTTTGAGACAATTTTCATTCTGCTTTATAAAGCAGTTTTTTAATACATGATTTAAAAAAAAAAAACAAATCTCGTATAGGGGTGTCAAAAATTGACACAACCTGAAATCCGACCTGGAAAAATCCTGGTTTGGGTCAACCTGTTTGTGAAACGAGTCGGGTCTAGGTTTGGATTTTTGACCCGTTTAAAAAAACAGGTCGGGCACCGATGCAGCCCTTGCTTGGCTCGCCCGCTGCGCTGACCTCACCCGCTGCACTGGCCTCACCCGCGTCCGCGTTTGACTCGACCAGCGCTGGCCTCACCGGTAGGCTGCACTCGCGCTGGCCACAAGCCCTCGATGCCTCGCCTGCAGCGCTGGCCTCGACACGACGACGCCTCGCCTGCAGTGCTGGCCTCGACGCCTCGTCTGCTGCACTTGGCTGCTGGCCTCGTATGCAGCGAACATGTTAGGAATGTCAAATAGGTTAGATTTCACGGGTCAGGTAAGATCAATCCAGTAACCCGACAATTCGGGTCCGGGTTGGCAATTCGAACCCGTTTAGCTAAACGGATCAGGTTCGGGTCAATCTGTTTACTATAATAAAACAACGGTGGGTATTATAGTATATTCTCACCCTAATGAAATAAAATATCCAACTTGAGCAATATTCTTTATATCCACTTTTATCAATACATTTTCAATATCTTTATCATATACATCATTCAAAAAATGTTATTTGCCGATCATCTTCTCATACACAGCACACCTCTTAGGTATTATATAAGCTAAATTATTTGGCAATGCGTTGGATGCCGCTGCTCTCCCTGCTTTGCCAGTAATCCCAGCCCTATGCATACTTGTCTTCAAATATATCAAGAAGTGCCAGAGCCTGAAATCAGAAAAAAAAAGGGAAAAAATTTTAGGACGTAAAGCAATAAAAACTTGTAAAAGTACTGAATTAGAAAAAGAAGATCAGGTTCTCCGGTGAATTTCTTTGCAAGAAAACGTTTTGAATATCAGTAAACTGAATGCTTCATTAAAGTTTTCAGTGCTGGATAGCAGATATATACCTCAGGGATGCTAAGCTCTAGCCGAAACTTGGGGCCATCATAATGGTGAAGAAAGGGGCGAAATGAATCCTCCTCCAATGGTTCGCAGAGTTTTCTTGTCACAACCCTCACCTAAATAAAGAGAAAAAAAAAATCATTTACTACAAGAAGGAATATCCTAAAATGCTCAATCTTTTGTATATAATATTGCATATTTGTAGCAGTTAAAACTGCTGCAAGAGATCCATATTAGCGCGGTTTTAATCGCGGCAAAAAATAGTGCTTTAATTAACCTTCCTTAATAGTTGCAAAATAGCTATTGAAAGGCCTATATAGTGGACAGCAACAACGACAGTCTTGCAGTGAATTTGTAACAACTACAAGCTTTTTGAGGAGATTAAGATTTCATTCGGGACAATTTTTGTATTGTTTTATAAAGCTGTCTCAAACAAAGCCTAAAACTACCTCAACAATATAAATTAAATGTTAAGAAACCTATTTTTTTAAATTGTAGTTAACCATAAGGGTTTTCGATATCTTATAGAGAAGAAAAATACGGAAGGAAGTCTATATCATGCTAATGAAATATTAGAATATGTATCACCAACCACCATATGATGAAAGTGGTTGAATTTATTTGGTTGGAAAGAATAAAACCATTACTAATTGTGTTCATTTTGCACCAAATTTTTTCTGTATTTTTCAACAAGATGAAACTTTCTACCATGATTATGACCAAACAAAAAAAAAGGCATACAAATAGCAATCGCCTTCAGTAGAGAAGGAAATATGGCAACATCTCTGTAAAGCCGTAAAACAGCACAATGAATCAAAATAAGAAAAGAACTGTAGAGCTCTTGAATGGTGCAGAATTATTCCTGCAAATTTCAAATTACCTGAGCAGGGAAACGAGATTCCCCAGATTTCTTCTTGTCCTCCCAAGCTAACGGATCTATATTTGTTCCACCAAAACTTGCAGCCTGCAACCAAATTCCAACAGCCATAGCGTAAGAAACAATGAAACTTTGATAGAGAAATAAGAAAATATACTAAGAACAAAACTAAAGCTAATACCTCAAAGATACCATAGAGCTGATGCGTGGAGTAATTGTAGAGGAAGAGAGGCAGGCCAGGTGTTATTGCCCTAACTGAATCCCTGTACCTTGATGGCAAACCTGCCAATAAAATCCATAATTTTATAACAACTAAATAATGTACTGTTTGGAATCAAATTATGGAATACACAATGAAGAACATGGGATATTTGTGTTGAAATCCCAATTCAAAGGCTCCAAAACAACATAAAAATTGGGCCTTTAGCTCATTAGATTGATTAAGGGGAGAGAGGAAAAACATACCAAAGAGCTGTCTCTCTAGGTTTTCCTGCATAGTATCGTTGTTGCAGACAAAGATGTAACCTCCAACCGCTTCGTTCCTTGGCAGCGCCTCGGACGCCGGTAATGTCTTGAATCGCTTGTCCACCCCTCCTCCATTACTGTTGCTATTGATATCCCTGCTATGATTGCTGTTCTTGTTGAGTCCGTTATTACTATTCCCATTCTTTTTCCTCCCAGCAGCACCATTGCTGCTGTTGTTCTTCTTGCCGTTCACATGCTTCCCAAATGACTTATCGAAGTAATAATTCTTCATCAATCCATTTCCGTTGGTAAATCCGAACCTCTTATTTGAGAAACTCCCATCCTTGATCCCGTCCATGGAACTGTATTCGTCGCCGTTGCTTTTGATCCGATTGAGGCTGGAGTTGGTAAAGGCGAGCTTTTGGGCTCCGAGCCCGCTGGGGTTGAACTCCGGCGCGGCGCCGGAAAGGAAGTTCCGGCGTTCATCGAGGGTCTTTCCGGTTTCCGGGAGGAAGTGATCGCTCCATATGCTGTCGCCGATGGAGAGGCTGGAAAAGGCAGCGGTCTCGAGCCGAAGCTGTTCGCTGAAATGCCTGAACGAAGACTGCTCCTTGTGAGTACTGATCTCCATTTCTTTATCTCGGTCTGATGCTGGGTGAGGAAGCGAGAAGAGAGGTACAGGTTTATAGAGTGGAACAGAGGAGAATTTCGAGGAAAGAGAAGGAGAGAGAAAACGCGAACGCGGTTGCATTGAGAGCGAAGAGTGAATACTTTGTGACGAAGAAAAGGGCTTAGCCGTTTAAGGGACTGTCCCGCATGCGAATGAAGGAGATAATAGGTGAGTGGGGGCCACCGGGTTCCAGAAGGTTGGTGGGGTATTATTTCTCGAGATTTGGCCGCCAACGAACTCTAGAAGTTGCGGAAGAGGCAAGACAATGCTATAATTTTCAATGAGTTAAATTAAAAAAAAAAAAAAAAATTTACCTACGTTAGACTATAAATTTATTTATTTACATATTTAATATCTAAAATTATAAATTTATACTATTCATATCTGAAAGCTCTTATTCCTCACATCTCGCATTTCATTATGTTTCTGTGACCGTAGCTTTCATTCATCCCCAGATTCATCTCATTCGTCCTGTTCTCCGGCAATTTTCTGCGTGAGAAAACCTATGATATTTGTGAATGCCCATTTCTCATGCCCTTAATACTCATGCTCCTTCTTCGTTGCTCTATTGGTCCTGTGAGTTTTGAGTTATGCGCTGATATGATTCATACTCTAACTTTTTGTACAACAATGTCAATCTTTATTTGGTAAGAACTAGTTCTTGCTTTAGTCGTTTTTTCCTTGTTAGTTCATAGATAGACGTTGAGTGAAATACTTGTTTGAGAACACCCTCTGTTTTTCTTTCCGTTGAATGACGACTTATGCTTTTTTGTTTACATGATATTTTTTGTTACATGTTAATGTAGTGGATTGATGTTTGATTGGCTTTCATATTTTGATTTGGGTTTCTTTGGTTGCCTTTATTTCACTAAGATGGGTCAATTGGTCAATTGGTCGGTTGGCTTTCATGAGAGCGCCCTCTGTTTTGTGTTGTGCTGGAGTTGTGAGGGAATAAGAAGTTTTGCAACTCTTTCATTGAAGTTGTTTCAGTGTAGTGGAGGATTTCTATAAGTATGTTGCAGTTAAGGTTTTCTATATTTGTAGTGGAGGATTTTTATATTTGTGTGTTACGCAAATCCAAAAAATTATGAAAAAAAAGCTCTATTTGTGTTAAGTGGTTTATGTTGGACAGCTCCCTACCTGGATGATCTATGTTGCAACCATAAGCTGCATATCGTGGGATCATTGGAGGGTCATGGGATCAACAGTAGGAGAAACAACCCGTATTGTTCTTGTTTCTCTAGTCTCTACTCATCTCTATAGATGAATCTTGCTTATATCTGAGTCCGATGATAACTCATTGGATGCATGCACATGAGATTTTAGTTGAAGTCTCTAGTCTCCCATTTGTGTTGAAGTCATTTGGTTTATTTCCTTGTTATTCGAAGTTCTATAGTTGTATTTCTTCATGTATTGCTCTTTACATAATGAGCTCTAGATATTCAACAAGTTCTACAAGCATGCACATGCCACAAATCTTCTTTTGCTAAAACTTGCAATGCGTTATATTTAAAACATATCATAGTGAGAATCACAACCAAAGATTTTATCTTTGCCCTTGCACCAGCACAAAAGATGATTGTAATTTCTTTAGGTGAGTTGATGAAGCCGATCAAAAATCATCAAACATAAGTCATTTATCTGATACCAAGACCATTAGATGAGATGACTTTGGAGAATTTGAAGTCCGTGAAGCATGATTTGTTTCAAATCAAGTTGTTATTAGTTATTTTGGTTGTACTTTAGTTGTTAACTTTCTTGTTCTAATATCACGATTTATAACCATCACTTTAATGTGAACTCTTATGTGAGTTTTTTGAAAATAAATGTTTGTAATCTAATGAGTTGTAAGTGTCATTGTAATTTGAACTCTTATGTGAGCTTTTTGAAAATAGATGTTGTAATATCATGAGTTATAAGAGTCATTGTAATGTGAGCTCTTGCATGTGCTTTTTTAAAATAGTACAAAATGATTTCATTGATCTTTGTGAAGAAACTATTATATAACTTGTCCACTTTGAGAATAAACAATTACATAATTTGTTATCTTCATGAAGAAACTATTACATAACTTGTTCTCTCTATGAAGCAATTAAAAAATTGCTTCTAAAAAATAACTTATCAAAATTCAACCAAATACATATATTCCTCAATGATTTTCATATAGAATTCTTGCAAGTTATTTTATGGTGGCCAAGTAAGCCACCCAGTATTTGTTAATGTGCTTCGGCGGTATATCCGAACTTTTCTTCATAATATGCTATATTTAAAGAGCCACCCAATTTGTTGTATAAAGTTTATTTCTAGCTCAATTAATGCCAAAACTCAAATGCGTATCATCTAACCTCCTAACTTCAAAGATCTAATCATCTCTGCATAATGATGCCCGTACCCTCCAAATGCACCCTCGATGCAAGCATGTTTTTATAACTCTAGACTTATTGCTAGCATTTATATTTATCCCAAAGTTATTAATATTTACGGTGGATCGTAGGAACTACTTGGAGCTTCTAGCATCATTAAAGCAAGCTTCAATTTCTAATATTTTATCATCACTAATTGGTCGCTTAAGCTGGTCACTTCTTAAGCTTTCAAAGTCAATGTTGTTCAAAACAACATTAATAACTCTACCGTTGCTAGGACAATGCTCTAAACCTTCCAAGTTCATATCGGCCTTTGCATCCTCTAGTAACATAATAATAACTTCAACTAGGGGTGTCAACTTTTGACCCGACCTAAAAACCCGACCCGTTTGATAAACGGGTTCGGGTTCGTAGATTTGACCCGTTTGATTAAACGGGTCGGGTCGGGTTGACCCGGCGGGTTGCCGGGTCAACCCGACAACCCGTTTAATTTAAAAAAAATTTAAAATTTCCCGCCCGGCTGCCCGCTGCCCCAGCCCGAGCTGCCCGCTTGCCCAGCGCTGCCGCGTAGCCCGCGCTTTGCCTGCCACGTGCCCACGCTTCGCCAATTCGCCTGCCGCGTGGTTTAGATCCGGGTCGGGTCGGGTTCGACCCGAATTGACACCCCTAACTTCAACCCGTTGACTGTCAGTACATTGTCCTATCATTTGCATCACCTCAGTATCACTTGAAATTGTCTTGTAAACTTTGGAAGAAGTAGGACTACCATTGTTATATAACTTAAACTCATGACTAATTAGTCATGGACAGATCATTCAAACTTCTCTCTAAAGATAAAAAGAAATTAAGCAGAACACTCTTATTTCATCATTTTCTATTTACCAGCTTCATATCTTCTTCTTTCTTTACCTTTAATTTCACTCCAATATACCTCAAATTGAATGTAACCAAATACATTCACCATCATTCACCACAACTACCACTTAAAATAAAAAATCAGCAAACACAAGGGTAGAAGATAAAAATTTTATATATATATATATATATCCCATGGCAAGAAACAAAAGAAGGGCATCACTCAAAACTCACAATAACAATTGAATGACGAAGGAGTAGGAGGGTATTCTCATATAAAATGGGCATTCATAAGCATCAGAGTGCCTTCTCACGTAGGAAATTGACGGAGATTTGGGAAAAGGAGATGAACCTACGAGCGAATGGGAGTTGGCACACGTGTAGATCACAGAGACGGAATGGAGTGCGCGATGCAAAGAAAATAAGAGATTTTGGGTGTGGGCAGTGTAAATTAATAGTTGTAGTTCTTAAATATGTAACTATGTGTGTTAAATGTTGTGTATGTAAATCCCTTGTAAAAATATCCTAAAAAACTTTTGGAATTCTCAAGAGAAACCCTAGTCGCCTCCCCTTTCCCTTGGCTTCCCTTCCTCTTCCTTCAGAATCAGAGGCCAACATCCCTCAGTTCCTTCCATAAAATAACCCTTGCCCCCTAAAACATCCCTTTCAAGTCCATTTGACAAGCATATATCCTTTGGCCTTCATAAAATACCCATCTTTAGAGTCTTAACCAATACCAACTTTTTACCCTTAAACCCTATTTCTCCTTCTCCTTAGCAGGCTCCTGCATCCTCTATACCTAAGGCTTAAATATCCCATTTTATTAACTAGAAGGGAATATTGAACTTTAAAAACCCCATTATTTCATCTTTCCTAGTCTCCTTTGTTTAAGCCTTTCATGATATTGCTCATTTTTTTATGAAGAAACTTAGGATGGAGCTCATGAGTGAAATCTTTTACTTGATGGTTATGTTATTGGCCAGCGGCCTTTCTTTCTCTTAATGATGATTTTTTTTATATTCAAGTTCTCATCCCCTCAGAACTTTGAGATGGTCTAGAGTGGTGGAGCATGATTCTTCTTTGGTAAGCCATCCTTTTTTAAAAAACAGTCATACGATTTTGAACCTATAAAGGATTAATTTGCTTCACTGCCTTTGGATCAAGATACTTAACCTTCCTCTTTCCTACTAGAATCCCTCTAGAATTTCCAAGATTGCTAGCCTTGTTAGTAAGCCCCCAGTTGTTAATAACCTCACTGCTAAGAAAATATGCCTTACTTTTGTAAGAATTTGTGTTCAAATCAACAAATCCTTTGAGCCTCCTAATGAATTCATGGTAGATGTTACAAGCAAATTACGCTGTCTCCTGTTCCAATATGATTGGAAACCTACACCATGTCCTGGATGTAGTTCCCTGGTTCACCCTCAATTTATATGTCCTATTAACCTGTCAAACCCTTCCCCATCACAACCTTCTATGTAGCTTGTTAGAGGGAGAAGTATAGGCCAGAAACCCTGACAACACCCTTCCAACAACACCCTTCCAACCATAAATTGGATAAATTTATGGTTAATCTTGTTGTTATGAACCAAATAATCAATCAAAAAGCCATAAATCCTTCTCCAACCCTCCTTCCCCTCATATGAAGATCCATTCTTCTAAACCTTCATAACCTACTCCAAACCAAAAATAATATGCGTATAATATTGACATGGTTGCTTCAAATAAAGTTCTTCTTTGGTAAGTTATTCATTTTTTTATGAATGCCCACATAATCTTAAGCATATACAGGATGAATTCGCTTCATTGCCTCTCTAGATCAAGATCAATAACCTCCCACATTCCTATTATAATCCCTCTAAAATTTCTAAGATTACTTGACTGGTGGGTCAGCCCCTAGCCCTCAATAA